AAGACATTTATTCTGTTGTCCTGGGATGCTTCTAGGTCTCTAAAGCAATGGAGAATAGGTTACAGGTACCCTCGCTTTCTAAATAAAGCTGCAAGACATATTTCTATGGACCCACTCAGAGGTGGCTAACTCAGTCCTCTGTATGTTCACCCTGACATTTAGTTCCTTGGAAGAATTCAAGGAAGAGATTACACAGGGGTGGAGAACATTTAGATTTTTCTTCCCATCCCTGCCTTAAGCCTATGGGGACTTCCCAAAGAATCATCTAAATTCTCGAAATTTGAGAACCATCTCTATTCAGGCAAGGAATGAGTGCAGTGAAAGCGCTCTTAAGAGAAAAGCGATGGATGTTCCCTAGGGCTAGGAAATGTGAACATAGAACTGGCCCCTTCTTCTATCTGAAGATCTCTGAAGTCAGGAGGCTGGTGGGAATAGCTTATAATGTCAAGGCAAGGAGACAGGCAAGTAATGAGAGCAGCTCCACTTAAAGAAAAATTTCTGGCAAGAATGTGGAGGAGTAAAAGAACCATGAGAAACTATGGACTCTGAGAAACAAACTGAGGGTTCTAGAGGGGAAGGGGGTGGGGGGATGGGTTAGCCTGGTGATGGGTATTAAAGAGGGCACGTTCTGCATGGAGCACTGGGTGTTACACGCAAATAATGAATCGTGGAACACTACATCAAAAAACTAATGATGTAATGTATGGTGATTAACATAACATAATAATAAAAAAAATATTAAAAAAAAAAGAATGTGGAGGAGTTTCCCATTGGCCAAGTAGGTACCATCGAAGGTAGCTAAACTCAAGTTTCTTAAAACTGTTCCACTCAGTGGTGATCTCCTGCAAGTGAAGAATTACTCTGGTAATAAATCACTAGAGATGGGAGCTTAAGAGGGGTCATCTGGGTCAGTCAGGGAGTTTATTACCCATGTCAAGAAACTGTAGTTCAGAGGCTCCCATGGAGTCCACATATGTGCCTAGGAAATGCCAGTATTTGATTACCTGCATCATTGGAGGACATGAAATCCAGTCTGTACAAATCAGCACCAGTTAAATTTAAAAACCTTGGCCCTTTTTCCTTTTTTTAATTGAACTATAATTGATACACAACATTATTAGTACAACATAATGATTGGATGTTTGTATATATTGCAAAATGATCACCACAATAAGTCTAAACTCCCTTCACCATACGTCTTTATAAAACTTATTTTTCTTATGATAACTTTTAAGATTTATTCTCTCAGGAACTTTGAAATATGCAATGCAGTATTACTAACTACAGTCTCCATACTATACATTATATTATCATAACTTATTTAAATTTTAACTGGAAGTTTATACCTTTTGACCCCCCCTCATACCTTTTGCCCCCACACAATCCCTGCCTCTGGTAACTAACAATCTGTTCTCTGTATCTATAAACTTGGTTTTATTGCATTTTTTAAAATTTTATTTTATTATGTTATGTTAATCACCACATATTACATCATTAGTTTTTGATGTAGTCTTCCATGATTCATTGTTTGCGTATAACACCCAGTGCTCCATGCAGTACGTGCCCTCTTTAATACCCATCACTAGGCTAACCCATCCCCCCACACCCTCCCCTCTAGAACCCTCAGTTTGTTTCTCAGAATCCATAGTCTCTCATGGTTTTATTGCTTTTTTGTTTGTTTTTTAGATTCCCCATACAAGTGAGATCACACAGTATTTATCTTACTCTGTCTGACTTATTTCACTTGGCATAATGCCCTCAAGTTTCATCCATGTCATCACAAATGGCAATATTTCATTATTAATGGTTGAATAATATTCCATTGTATGTATGTAATATTTTATATATATAAATTTTTATCTACTCATCCATGATAAACACAGGTTGTTTCCATATCCTGGCTATTGTAAATAATGCTGCAATGAACATGAGGGTGCATATATCCTTTTAAGTTAGTATTTAAGTGGAACTGCTGGATCATATGATAATTCTATTTTTAATTTTTTGAGCAACATCTATACTGTTTTCCTTAATGGCTGCACCAATTTACATTCCCACCAATAGTGCACAAGAGTTCCTTTTTCCTCCACATGGTGGGTGTTGAATCATCCTTGCATCTCTGAAATAAATCCCACTTGATCATGTAGAATTATCCTTTAAAAGTATTGTTCAATTTGGTTTGCTAATATTTGTCGAGAATTTCTGCAACTATTTTCATCAGAGATACTGGCCTGTAGTTTTATGGTATCTTTGGCTTTCTCTTTGTCTTTAATTTTCTGTAATTTGAATACGATATGCCTATGTGTAGTTTGTTTTTTTGTTTGGTATTTATCCTGCTTGATGTTCTCAGAGCTTCCTGGATCTATGGCTTGGTGTCTGTCATTAATTTTGGGAAATTCTTGGCCATTATTGCTTTAAATATCTCTTCTGTTTTTTTCTGTCTTCTCCTTTTGTATTCCATTTATACATATGTTACACCTTTTGAAATTTTCCACAGTTCTTGAATGTTCTGGATTTTGTTTTCATTCTTTTTTCTCTGTATTTCAGTTTGGAAGTTTCCACTGACATATGTTAAACCTCACTGATTCTTCCTTTGGCCATGTGCCAGTCTGCTGATGAGCCCATCAAATGTATTCTTTATTTCTATTACAGTTTTTTTTTCCCTAGCACTTCTTTAATTCTTTCTTAAAGTTTCCATCTCTCTGCTTACATTAACCATGTGTTCTTGCATGTTGTCTATGTTTTCCATTAGAGCTCTTAACATATTAATAATTAATTATTTTAAATCCCCTGTGTTATATCGGTGTCTGGTTTTAAGATTGCTTTGTCTCTTGAAACTGTTTGTTTTTGTCATTTAGCATACCTTGCTGTTTTTCCTGAAAACCAGACATGATGCATAGGGTAATAACTGATTTAAAGGCCTTTATTGTGTGGGTTTATGTTAATATGGCTAGAAATTGAGCTATGTTTATTGTTTTTTTGGAGCTGTAGACATCAGAAACTTTAAATTCCTCTAGTGTTCTCTTTTTTGTACCCTGTTGTCTTTGGGCATTCCTAGAAGTTCTTTCTCAAAGTCTGAGACTTGAAGCTCTTTTAGCTGTAATCCACTGTTATTATTCTGGAGTCTTGTTGCTATGATGGTTAAGGTATTAAAAGGAAAACATTCTATAATCTTATGATTAAATCTCAGTCTGTTAGTGAGCCAGTGCCCCAGGCTATGACTTTTACAAGTGTTCCTTAGATTTTTTTTTTTTTCCTTTTTAGGTGAGACAGGATGGCTGGAGGGGACTGAAGTTAGTTATTGTTCTTTTTTTTTTAACTTTTTTTTATTTTATTATGTTATGTTAATCACCATACATTACATCATTAGTTTTTGATGTAGTGTTCCATGATTCACTGTTTGCGTATAACACCCAGTGCTCCGTTCAGTATGTGCCCTCTTTAATACCCATCACCAGGCTAATCCATCCCCCAACCCCTTCCCCACTAGAACCCTCAGTTTGTTTCTCAGAGTCCATCGTCTCTCATGGTTCGTCCCCCTCTCTGATTCCCCCCCTTCATTTTTCCCTTCCTACTATCTTTTTTTTTTTTTTTAAACATCTAATGCATTATTTATTTCAGAGGTACAGGTCTGTGATTCAACAGTCTTACACAATTCACAGCACTCGCCATAGCACATACCCTCCCCAGTGTCTATCATCCAGCCACCCCATCCATCCCAAGTTAGTTATTACTTTTAGGCCTGGTGGGATGAGGCTTTGGTAAAGCATTTTCACCTGAATAGTAGCTCTTTCATATGAAGAATGCTCTGAGCATGTTTCAAAATGGTTACTTTCCCATTCCCTCTGTCAGATCCTTAATGGGATCTTTCCTGACTCTTCACTGTGAAGACTTGATAGGGTTCCTGGAGGAAAAACCCACGATAATCACAGGAGTGATATCTCATCACATTCATGGGGTCCACCCATACTCAAAGGGAAGGGAACTGTACAAGGGAAAGACTTATTGAGGATAATTTTATCCTATCACAGTGACATTTCTGCAAGCTAAATTGATAGCAAGAATTCTAGCTTAATTGAAGTGCACAATGAATGGTCCATCTTACTATCACTCCATGGGAGTAGTAGCCAGAAACCCTTGAGTTATAAGTAAATTGTCTTTCTGAGTATCAGCTCTTTTTGCTTCAGTAACATTCTTAACCTAACAGAGTTGTTGCAAGTATTTGTATCTCTAGCTTTTATTACAGTAACAACTACATATTACTTGCAAATTATCACAGTAGCTTTGAATTTCTCTGTGTCAGAATGACCTCAAACACTGACAGCAGGAGAGAAAATTGGGGGCTCTTTAAAGCACAAGGAGTGATGGATGAGTTCACATTGTAAATGGAAAAACCTGTACATATATAGTTATGGTTTCAAAAGCAGCCTATAATAGTAAGGCGATAGAATTGACCTTCAGCTTTCTTTTAACAAAACCAATGTCCTCTTCCAGGTGCCAAGTACATTTGATGGGTCAAGGAATCAAAGCTATTATTAGAAAAGAGAAAATTACTTTTCCAACTGATAGAAAGTTATATTCTTTATAGAAACAGATTATCTGAAAGAATAATCAGGAAATGGTAGCAAGAAGATTCTTAATAAATTATGTAATTAGTAGTGAGAGTGGGTGAGAGAAGTTAGTTTAACAAACTACTAAAATACATAAAGGTAAAAACTGTAGTATTAGCAACATATTTGGAGATAGAGTTTCAAACTGATAGCTAAGCCCTAAAACAGATTTTTTTTTTTAAGGGAGTTAAAAGATATCTGTCTGGAAAAGAGGAGTAATTTGTAAATTGGTATATTTGACCAGCTATCTGGAAGAAAAAGCTATTATATCCTCTCCTTATGCAATGTACCAATATAAATTACAAATTTAGTTTGTTACTACTATGTAATAATAACAGGCAATAATCATTACCATTCAGGAAACAGCCCTCAAACGTCTGAGAGTGTTACCTGGTTGATTGTTAATAGCCATCAGTCCATGTCCCTCAGGTAGGTGGTAGTAAACTATCAAAAGTCCTGTGCTTTGTTCCTTTCTTCCTCTTTGCTACAGACCAGTGCAAGGCTGGATAAGTTCTTCTACTCTGGAGGCTCTTTCTTTCAGGGGTGGTGGGAAGTATATATTCCAAGGTGAGTCTTGCAGAGAGAACAAAAGTGTCATTTGACTTCCACTCCAAGCCATATCCACCAACAGAGCTTTATCAATAGTAAAGGTTTTATTTTTATTTCATCTGCCTGACTTCTACAATTTTCTTCTAACTGCTACTAAACTTGGGCTGGGTAAAGCACTATTATATTACACCTCTCAAAGACTAACAACTGTTTGCTGAAACAAATTATGTTTGAGTTACTTATATTATTTTATTCATTCCTTTTTATTAACTTTAGTAACAAATGTTAATAACCCCATTTTATAGAAGAAAATGTTGAATTTGAAGGGCTTTAAATAATTCTAAAGATCACATAAGTAGTGTAAAAAAATAAAAGAGAAACAAAATTAGGTGAACATAGAAACCATTATTATCAAATCTCTGAAGGGAGAAAGTTTTCTGAGTTTAAAAGCAGTAGAAATATGTACACTTTCACCATTCTTATTCAACTTAGTCCTGGATGTTCTAGCGACTACATTTAGGTCAGAAAAAGAGACGAAAGGCATACAATGTGGAAAAGGAAAAAATAAAACTTTCCCTATTTACAGATGACATTATTGCATTATTGTTTAAAACACAATCTCAGGGAATCCACCAAAAAAAAAAAAAGAAAGAAAGAAAATCCTAGAACTAATAAGTGAATTCAGCAGGATCATGGGATACAAGATCAATACAAAAATCAATCATACATCTGTACATGAACAATTACACATGTTGAAACCAAAATTAGAAATGCAATACCATTTAAAATTACTCCAAAAAATGAAATGCTTAGGTGTACTCTTTAAAGGACATTTCAAGGGGGCACTTGGGTGGTTCAGTCATTTAAGCATCTACCCTTGGCTCAGGTCATGATTTTGGGGGTCCTGGGATAGAGTCTTGCATTGGACTCTTTGCTCAGTGGGGAGTCTGTTTGTCCCTCTCCCCCTGTGCTCTCTCTCTCGCTTTTCTCTCTCTCAAGTAAATAAATGAAATCTTTAAAAAAATGTATAAAAAGGGGCGCCTGGGTGGCTCAGTCATTAAGCGTCTGCCTTCGGCTCAGGTCATGGTCCCAGGGTCCTGGGATCAAGCCGCGCATCAGGCTCTCTCCTCGGCGGGAAGCCTGCTTTGTCCCTCTCCCACTCCCCCTGCTTGTGTTCCCTCTCTTGCTGTGTCTCTCTGTCAAATAAATAAAATCTTTAAAAAAATATATTAAAAAAGGACATTTTAGGATCCATATGATGAAAATTACAAATGGCTTGTGAAAAAAATTAAAGCAAACCTAGATAAGATTGACCTATTCCATTCATGGACTGGCAGATTCAACATAGTAAAGGTATAAATTCCTCCAAATTGATCTATAGGTTCAATGCAATTACTATTAAAATCCCAGCAAGGTTTTTTTTGTAAATATAGACAAGCTTATTCTAAAATTTATATGAATAGGCACAGACCTTAGAATAGCTAAGACAACCTTGAAAAAGAAGAATAAAGTGGGACAAGGCTTGCTATTAGTTTGTGGCTATAGTAATCAAGGCAGCGTGGTATTAGCAGAGGAATAGACACTTAAAACCGTGGAACAGAGTAGAGAACCTAGAAATAGACCCATACAAAAATGCTCAAATAATTTTTGACAAAGGTATAAAAATAATCCAGTGGAGGAAGGGAAACTTTTCAATAAATGCTGGTAGAGCAATTGAAAATTCATAAGCAAAAATTTGAACTTCAACCCAAACTTCACATCTTATACAAAAATTAACTCAAAATGACTTGTCGACTTAAATGTAAACATAAAACCATAAAATGTTCATAATGTGTATTATGTTTTACAATGTTTATTAAAAATTTTTATAAAAAACAGTGAGAATCGGGATGGGTTAGCCTGGTGATGGGTATTGAGGAGGGCACGTTTTGCATGGTGCACTGGGTGTTATGAACAAACAATGAATCATGGAACACTGCATCAAAAACTAATGATGTAATATATGGTGATTAACATAACAATAAAAAAATAAAAAAAAAAAAACAATGAGAATCTTTTTCAGGATCTAGGGCTAGGCAAAAAGTTCTTAGGACTGACACCAAAGCACAATGCATAAGAGGAAAAATTGATAAGCTGAACTTCACTGAAGTTAAAAATTTCTTCTTTGGAAAACAGCAAGTGAGGAAGATGTAAAAATAAAGCTACAGACTGGGAGAAAATATTTTCAAACCACGTATCTGATAAAGGATTAGTATTTAGCCTGGTGATGGGTATTAAAGAGGGCACATATTGCATGGAGCACTCGGTGTCATACGCAAACAATGCATCCTGGAACAAACACTACATCAAAAACTAATGATGTACTGAATGGTGACTAACATAATAAAAAAAGTTATAAAAAAGAGAAAGAAAGAAAGAAAATAGACAAAAGACATGAAGAGAAATTTCATCAAAGAAAATATACAGATGGCAAATGAAAAGATGTTCAACATAATTAGCCATTGGAGAAAGGCAAATTAAAAATACAATGAGATATCATTACCCGTCTGTCATAGTTCCTGAAATAAAAAAAAATAGTGACAACACCAAATGCAAAAGACAATGCAGAGAACCTGAATCAGTCCTACAGGAATGTAAAATGGCACAGTCACTCTGGAAAACAACTTGGCATTTCCAATAGAACTAAATATGCACGCCTCTTAGGATGGCTACTATTAAATAAGAAAAAAAGCAGAAAACAACAAGTGCTGGTGAGGATATGGAGAAATTGGAACCCTTGTGGGAATGTAAAATGGTGACCAACAGTATGGTAGTTCCTCAAAAAATTAAACACTGAATTATCATATGATCCAGAAATTTCATTTCTGGGTATATACCCAAAAGAATTGAAATCAAGAAGTTAAAGAGATATTTGTACACCACATTCAGAACAACAGTATTCACAGGAGCCAAAGTGTGGAAGCAACACAAGCATCCATCTATGGCTGAATGGATAAACAAAACAATATGTACATATAATGATATACACTTCAGCCTTAAAAGGAATGGAATTCTGACACATATTACAACATGGATAAACCTTGAAAACATGCTAAATTAAATATGCCAAATACACAAGAATAAATATTTTATGATTCCACTTATAGGAGGTGTCTAGAATGGTCAATTTATATACAGAATGTAGAATAGTGATTATACAGTGGGCTGGGGAGGAGGGGTCATGGGGAGTTATTGTTTAATAGGTAATGAGTTTTCGTTTTGTATGAGGAAAATGCTCTGGAGATTGTCAAGGGGACACAACAATGTGAACATACTTAATGCCACTGAATTGTACACTTAAAAATGGTTTAAAATGCAAATTTCATCTTATGTATCTTTTACCACACACATACATACAAACTAAATTAAACATTCAACTATATTATGACCCAATAACTACACTCTTGGATATTTATCTTAAAGAAATAAGAAGTTGTATTTAAACAAAATTCTGTATACACATGTTCATAGCCACTCTATTTGTGATAGTCAAAACCTGTAATGAGCCCAGATACCTCTAAATGGGTGATTGGCTAAACTGTGGCACATACTTACCATGGACTACCGCTCAGCAATAAAAAGGAATTGACCACTGAAACAGAACCACTTGGAAGCATCTTTAGGGAAGTATGTTGAGCAAAAGAAAGCCACTTCCAAAAGGTTACATGTTCTATGTTTCAATTTATACAGCTTTTTTTTTAAAGATTTTGTTTACTAGAGAGAGAGCACAAGTGGAGGGGAGGAGCAGAGGGAGACAGAGAAGCAGACTCCCTACTGAGCAGGGAGCCCCACGTGGGGCTCGATCCCAGGACCCTGGAATGATGACCTGAGCTGAAGGCAGACACTTAACCAACTGAGCCACCCAGGCGCCCCCATTTATACAGTGTTTTTGAGAAAATTTTAGAAATTAGAAAAACAGATTCATGGTTTTTCAGAGGTTAGTGATAGGGAAAGAGGGGAGGTAGAAGGCATGTGGCCATGGTTATAAAAGGGAAACACAAGGGGTTTTCGAGGTAATGGAACTGTTCAGTATTTTTTTTCATTTTTTTATTATTATGTTAATCACCATACATTACATCATTAGTTTTTGATGGAACTGTTCAGTATTTTTTTTTCATTTTTTTATTATTATGTTAATCACCATACATTACATCATTAGTTTTTAATGGAACTGTCCAGTATTTTGACTGGACACAGGTGCCTACACATGTGAGAAAATTATGTAGAAGTAAATACACACATTTCATACACACAAATGAGTAAAAATCAAACTGGGAAATCTGAACAAAACCAATGCATTGTATCAATATCAATAACATGGTTGCAATATTATACTATTTTTTTTTTGCAAAAAAATATTTTGTTTTATTTTGCTCACTTGTTACCACTGGGGAGAAACCTTGCTAAAAGGTTCCGGGGATCTCTGTGTATTATTTCTTACATCTGTATGTGAATCTACAGATATATCAATAAAAGTTGAATAAAAAAGAAAGCAAGAGGGCGCCTGGGTGGCTCAGTTGGTTAAGCAACTGCCTTCGGCTCAGGTCATGATCCTGGAGTCCCGGGATCGAGTCCCACATCGGGCTCCCTGCTCAGCAGGGAGTCTGCTTCTTCCTCTGACCCTCTTCCCTCTCGTGCTCTCTATCTCTCATTCTCTCTCTCTCAAATAAATAAATAAAATCTTAAAAAAAAAAGAAAGCAAGAAATGGCATTACACACAAAAAAGATCCAATGAATAAGAGTATATAAATGTTTAAAAATCTGTGAATAAAAAAATAATTTCAATAGCAAATATTATAACAAAAGGTTAATATCTATGGTACATAATGAACCTATACCCAGGAAACCTCTGATAGGCAAATGAAGAAGGTTGAGAATAAAAAATTCACTTTAGTAGTAGTGGTCTGACTGTATTGTGTGTGGACCCCTGGAAGTCCCCAAGGCACTCTATGTTGACATTGTTCAAAAGCCATGGTGGGTAAACT